TGATTGGCTTGCGAAACGAGCCTTCCACATTCATACCATACTGCGGTATATTTCCTGCACGATAGATCAAAAGTGGCGGAGGCCGAGGGTTGTTTTTTCTACATGCAAGTACTACAGTTTACGATCTGCCACCTCAGGACAAGGAGAATTCCCCACTTGATAGAATAACACTTCGCATTGCGGCTGAGAAGCAATTGCTGCGCTGCTGCGCAAGTTGCATAGTCGGAGATGCAGGATCAAGACAATTTGGACGGGGTGCACCGTGAAATGCGTGCATTGAGGCCAACTGCGAAGTCTGTCTGTGGCTGTGGTCCAGACTCCAAAGAGCCGGGGGACAGCGCAGACGCGCTCAGCCACACCCTCGAGCTTAGCTACAGCGGCTTCCCCGAATGACGCAGAACCGGTAGGTATCCGCATCGAGGCCGTTTCCTTGCCTTTAGTTCCGTCTGCCGGTAATATAACTCATTGGGAGTTTGTTTAAGATGACATCACTGTAGGCATGTCGCCGTTGTGAACACTCCGATTTAAGCTGTGATCAATGATCCATTTTGTACGTCAGTCTCCATTCTCATGGGCAGCCAACGGTCTCAACTCTGGGAATTGCTCCTATTGAGATATATCAGGATGCACGTCAGTGTGGGGTTGGAAACAAAAGAACAGATCGTAAGCAGAGTTGCTGCAAATTGGGCATGAGTATTCACAGCCATTGATTCTTCCAAATGAATGTGTACATCGATATTAAAATATTTCTTCTCTCGTGATATCATTAGACAAGATCAAGCTATCATAATTCATTAGACGCCCTCCCCAATTTCCTTGAAGGTTCTGTTCTCTCCCTTCGGAAAATGTTCTGGGTACAATCGGAGGGGAAGGGGAGTCTCGTAGTTTGTGTGTGTGTGAGTGTGTTTTTGTTGTCAAACGCCAACATCGATCATCAATCGAAGCCCAAAAGAAAAAGACCAACCGCCTACCCGTTTGTCCGTACAATAATCGTGACCACTTAAGAGAAAAACACACAATCTCCCAGAGACCAGCAAGAACAGACTCAATCTGCCCAATCATCGTACTTGCCAGGGTTGCCAGGGAAGTGAGGACCACCACCACCACCACCACCGCCTCCGGCATTAAGATCCACAAACCCGGGATCACCGCCGCCGCCGCCGAAGGCTGCCGCAGGAGGAGGCTGGTGATACCCAGGATCCACATCGAAAAAGGCAGGCTCATCATCGTACATGGGATACCCAGGTCCCGGAGCCATACCGGGCGGAGGCGGAGGCGGCGGGTGGTTGAACGGAGGAGGGGGAGGGGGAGGAGGCTGATACGACACCGGTGGCACCGGAAACCGATGCCGGCCGCCGCCGGAACCCCGCTGCTCCCTCCGGAGCCGACCACTGGTTCGGCTACTAGAGCGGGACGCGATCTCGGAGATGCTGTCGTCCCATTTGGGACTGACCCAGGCGTAGGAAATGTACGACGCGTCGCTGTACACGCTGCCGCCGCCGTCGTCGTAATCCCAGTCCTCATCGTAGTCGCAGACCTTGGTCTTTCGCAGGGCCATTTGCTTTCCGGGGGGCGCGCCCGTCGTCCACTTCATAAAGGAGACGGCCCAGTGGTCGCTCTTGATGTTGGAGTGGGATGTCTGGGACGATCTGGACTTTTTGGAGCCGCCCGAGCTGGAGGACGATCGGGAGGACGACCGGGAGGAGCTTCCGGATGAGTAGCTCGATACGGAGGCTGCGTCGTCAAAGCGGTGCTGATGTGGGTGAGCCATGGCTGTTGTGAGTTTTGGGAACGCTGAGTAAAACTGAATTGGGTCGTTTGAGCGAATGGGTTGCAAGAAGCAGCAAGCAACAGAAGCAGCAGCACAAGCTGCGTATAGAGAGATGCGCAGAGATGAAGGAACACCCCTGGTATGACACAGCAGAACTTGGGAACAAGTTGCCTGGGCCGGTACCCTTACTGGTCAAGTGCGCAGCAGGAGAGTTTTGCTTCACCACCGAAGAAGAGACGGAGCAGACAACGACAAGCGAGCTTTGCACAGACAGCTGCCCGGGATGGGGCTTCATCAAATACTTATTGCAACTCGGCAACGGGGGTATTGCAGGCAGAGTCGGTTGAGCAATACGGTGGCCGTGAAGGAAGCTAGCTACCTACATGTTTGGTCAGCGTTGCTCGCCTCGTCTCATTGCTAGTGTCTGGAGCAAGAGAGCAATGGCTGCATGCAAGCTCGAGCTCATGCATGATGCAAAGTGCAAAGGCAAGGGGACTGGACGTGAAATTGCATGTCTCGTCCCCTTCACCTTGGCAACCAAGACAGGCGAAAAGTACATCTGCACCCTATCGCCAAACACCCAGTACCGGTAGTGGCCGAGTATCAACATATGAAGAAGGCTACGAGATGGTGTCTCATGCGGGGTATGTACCTTTCAACCTTCACAGCCCACCTAGGCACCCTCCTTGGGATGCAGAAAGAAGCACTTCTTCCTCCGCCCTACCTCCACGGCAGCCCTGCAAACACACACACACACATTTAACCCATTCACCGTGTTTCACGCCGATCTTTCGAGACAACTCAAAGCGCACCAAAAAGAACCACGTTCCGAGTCTGGTGGCACCAGTAATGCCTATCCGTACTTTAAGCAAGGCAGCTATCCATTGCCGAGTGGCACAATTCAGCGCATGTGCGAGACCAGATGCCCACACAATGGTGTAAGGGGATGACAGACCCGAACGAGAGAACGAGAAAGCATTAAAAAAAGTACGGATAACATGAGGGGGAAAAGAAACGGATGATCTGCCTGCTCACTGCCAGTTCACGATTGGAACATATGGAGTCACACCACTGCAACCAATACGATGCAGTACCAGACTCAGCAACTAGAGTGACATCAATCGAGCTTGTTGCCGGTCAAGGTGTTGGCTTCGAGGGAAATCCAGACCAGGTAGCACGTTGTCCATCTAAGAGAATGCAATCCTACGGCCATCAGCTCGACTGCCGTTGACCGTAACCAACATCTATTGGAATATCCGGCCATGTGGAGTAAAAAATGAGGCTGCAAATGCAGAAGAAAGGAACAACAGGCAACCAACGAAAACTGTCCGCATCAGGCGACCCCTGGACCAACAACGTGAAGCACTTACGGCTGTTGCTCACCAGGGGGTTGAGGAGGGGGATGACTGGATGAAAATGGGGCTGCTCATCGAGTGATCAGAGCCACTCGGCCGCACATATCTCTTAACGTGCAGTAGTCGCGAACCACCCCAACCATACAAAAGAGGTCACAGCAACCCTTTCTGCCTCGCCTCGATCCACGTAGGAATGCGATTGCAGACGCCTAGCACGCAGGTAGTTAAATGCGGCCGTTTTTGGGGACCGGTCGCTTTCTTCATTTAAGCAGGCTAGCTGAAAGGCATCGCCATTCTCGAACTCTGTCTGGAGGATGATATCAAAAAAAGAAGAGCCATATTGGTGAGAAGGTTACAACGAGATCATGGGACGAGCAGGAGGGAGATGTGACCTGTAGCATAGCCGAAGCTACATCCGTCCGACTAAAGCAATAGGAGACTACCGATGGTGTTGACCGCTGCTGAGCATTGCCGGCGACAGATCCTACGCTGACGGGGACTGAAGAGCTCCGGGCGGTCGCAGCGGGCGGGCAAGTGGCTGCTTACATGGTCCGGGGTCGGCTCCGAGAGACAGACAGATGATGGGATGATGCATTCGTATGCGGGTGCCAGGACCGATGAGACGCAGGCTGGTAGGCATCCATCTCGCAGTATGCCGGAGTGTTTTGCGACTTCGACTCTGACTCTGTGCCTGCATGGTTGCCTTAACCTGTTGGTCGCAAGAGCTGCACACCGAAAGTTGCCGTGAGGCGTGACTGGCTCAGCCAAGAACGGCGATTGAATGAGAAAGGCAGCGTTGAAAAGGGCCGAGCGTCTGATAAATTGGTTACTGAGAAAGCCCGCGGGCTTGGATACCTTGGCTTGCAAACTGCCCGGAGCCGCCTGGTCGAACAGGGATAAGTAGCTAGAAGCAGCAGAGGAGTACCTATCGTGAACGGGATACGCCCTTGGTCGATGCTGGGGGTGACAATGAAGAAGGCGAGCATGGTCGTGGAATATCTGTCGACTCGGATATCCAAGTTGTAGTTGTCGATGGATGTGTGGTGTAGTATACGTGATCCAGGACGAGACAATGATAGACATCTGTTCTGGGTCTACACTTGCATGTCTCCTATTGTGAACACCGCACTGGCCGCTCTGAACGTTGGACATGCCGCCATGTGGATACGGTAGGGACGTCAAATCGCAGGAGAGGGGACATAGAGCGAAGGGATCAACCGGGTCACGGAAGTCGAGGTGAAGTTATCAAGCATCCCGGATGACGGGGAAGTCGGGGGCTTTCCGTTGGCAAGGAACCGTATCCACTATCCGTAAGCCAAGGGCTTGAAGAGGCGCCCATGGCACATGGTCGCCGTCAGCGGCGCCGGTTGAGACCAGGAATAGTGGTCCCTGGTATCCATTTGCGTGAGTAAACAGCGGCATAGAGGAAAGCTCTGATGGTAAGGGGCGAAGTGGTTAAAGATTCTGCCGTCGTTGGTCGATAAAGATGTCGCAACTCGTACATTTAATCAATAATAATCAATCCGTCTGGTGCCCGCAGGTTCTCAGTGGCAATAGAAAAGTGCGAGTCAGCGTTGCAAACTGATGGGTCACTCAGTGCCCGGGACAGATTGGCCAGACGTGGTTGTTGACACGGCTAAGCCTGACAAGAACGCTGAGATCAACTCGGGTTTCCCAACAGACTAGAGTAAACAGGCAAACAGGCTGAACAAGGTTCTGAAGGGAGGGGGGAAGGAACAATAGGCCGGGGAATAGGTAGACTGCCAAGAGACGAAAGCGGTTGTAAGGAAACAGTCATCGGTGACCGAAGTTCAGCGAGACGGGAAGCTTCGTCTGTGTCTTGAACTCTTGACAAGTCGAGTCTGACTTGCCTCGGACGCAAAAGGTTTGGCCGGTTGCCTTTCTGGGGAAACTGAATTGTATATCCCCGTTAGCAGAACCTTAATTCTTATTCCAGATAACGTGTCAGCGTGTCTGGCTTGACTGGGACAGAAGAGGCATTTGGAAAGGTAACTGTAGATCTAGCGACATTAGCTCATCTTACTTGAGTTGCTATCCCAGTATCCATACGGATACCTACAGCATCATAGGGAATCCTTCGTCATCTGGGGTCATTTGCCGCTAGCCGACATGCCGACCAAGAGACAGCGGGAAGCATTTTGGCAGGCCGGGTTTTGGCGAGGTAAGGCGGTTGAATAAACAAGTGGATTCCGTACCTTACACTCATGACAATCGGCGGTACACCATGTTGGAGAAAGAAACATACAGACTACGGTAACTACCTCATGCCTTGGACAGCCATCGACCAGCTCAACACCGGCATGAGTGTCCTGGTAGGTACTTGGGAGCACCCTGTCAAATGTCTGGCGCTGTGTCTGAGTGTGGCAGAGACAATCATGGAAAGAGCCCGGAACCACTTGAGATGTTCTGAAGAAGAAGAAAAAGACCGGCGGAAAGAAGCACTGAAGGTTGCCCCTCTTTGGCCGCATTGGAGACGCGGTATATCCCCGGTTCACACCTTACCTAAGGCACCCTAGTTTCTGACTCTCTGTCCACTCAGAGTGGTGGATCCGCTTTTAGCCAGTTAACGACGGGAAAGTCAAGACACCATGAGCTGTATCCGAAATCCTCAAATCTTCCTGCACTTTCTCTCTAGTCAATGTCAATGACTGTTGCTGTTCGATTTGCACCTGTAAAATGCGGATAGTCTTGACAAGGGCGAGATTGCTTATCTGCCAATCTCCTGCTGTAGGCTTCCTTGCCTGCATAATGCTCTCTGCAGGCGCGGATGAGATGTACAGGGGACGCGCCCCACGGTCCACGGTCCACAGTCCACGGCGATGAAAGTAACTGGCGCTAGACCGCATTCGCCCACTGCCATAGTAATCTCGTCACTCTCGTACAAGAGGCTTCTCGGCCCAGGTCGTCTTTTTTCGGTCCCCACCTGCCCTGTTGAATGTTCGCTTGGCCCGCAGCGCTTGAGCCGACTGGCAGACGCTAGTCTCGTTTCGGATCTAGCGCCAAGCTCTCGCGCCGGCAGCCAAACTGAGATCTACAAACGTCCCTGCTTCCACTCTCTCTGGACTCTTTCGCTGCTGAATCGTCCAGGTATGTACCTACTTCGTCTCCGTTGAGTATAACCCGGAACAACTTCTTTTTCTCATCATCGAGAGACGTGGGAGGCTAGGTGAGTAGCTGACAGGCTGAACCTAGGTGGGAGAAAACACCACACAGCGCACCATACTGCCAAAACTGGCACCTCAAGTGACTCGGCGGGCGGCATTTGCGGCGGGAACCCCACTGTTTGCCAAACGTCTGAAACCCTGCTCTGCGACAGCATCTCTCCTAGTAGTGCCAGTTTACTCCGAAGACTCTACTTGGTCTCGTCAGTCCATCTGAAGAACTTGAAGGATCGTTTGGTGTTGCTGACAAGGCCGGCATTCATTCACGACGTGACACAGAATCGCCCTGTTTCTCCCCAGTCATCACCAGGAGCAACTTGCCGAAAGTGAGCTCGGGATCCCCGTGGTCGATTCCTCGTACTCTGGGAGGGCTGGTCGGTGGATGACCGAGCCCTGATGAGGTGATAACTTGGTTCTAAGTATTCTACCGATAGGTATTTACAAGCCAAGAGCAGCATCAGCCATGGGACAGTAGAACCTTGGTATCTGTTCATGGTGTTCCGGGTAAATAGGCTCATCACGCACGATCGCTCTGGGCAGAACAAGTGGCAATGTCTCTGGAATGCCATCTGTGGATCGGTGGTTGGTGTCCTTACGGATAGATGAAGAGGCAACCTGGAAGTAAAGTGTTTGGATTTCCCTTGACTGACAGTGTAAAACAGAATCAGACAAGGTCGCTATTACTGGTGGGTAACCGGTCTCGACAACCTGTCGGCCGGCTCTGCAGATAAGGTGTGGACGATCCCGGTCCGCTCGTGGCACACTACTCCGTACGGAAGTTGTGCTTGGGCGTGGGCGCTGTCATGCTGTGGGTGGGTGGGAAGAATGCCAGACAAGGAAGAAACGATGAAGCACCGAATGGCAGCCGACCATGTTCTCCTCGGTCTATTTCTGTGATGTATACTCCATACGCAGTACTCCGTAGTGTAGAGCCACGAAGTTTTCCCCCGCAGTAGCATCATGGGCCATTCACTACCAATGTGACGGAGAAAACAGTGGACAATGTTTGGGGACGGCTTGGTAGGTAATCATATCATAGCATCTACGGATAGATGGATCTACAAACGGAACGAAGGGATACCTTGCTTTGCGTATTGTGCCATACCTTCCATACCTACCTTAGGTATGTACATATGATGGACCTTAGGTGAGGCAGGCTATAGGCAGTGGTGGTGGTATGAGTTAACGACCTTCCTTGCCGGTGATAAACGACCGAGTCTGTTTGGGTGGATCTGGGCAGTGGGCAGTGGGCAGTGGGTGGGGCGGATTCGGTGGATTTGGGCTTATTTAGCGTTTGTTCACTCCAGACGCCAATGCTGCACCTCCCCACCCGTCTCACACACAAACGAACTCCTGCACCTGCACCTTCAGGGAGGCGTCGGCCGATGGCTGTCCGCGGTCCTACATTGGTGCTGCTCCTGTCTCCTCCACTTCTCATCACTGTCTCTGCCCGTCATTACTAAGGCAAGGCAAGTAGACTCTGTAGAGTACTAGGTAGGGCTGTACTTGCGGATTTCGCCTAGCACTCTCCGTACATGCGGACAATAATTCTTCTTGAAGAACAGAGAGATCGCCGAGGAAAGGTCAGACACGCAGACTATCTGCGCTACCGGTACAGATAGATACCACGACATATTGGCGATATTCAACGAGACCAAAATATCTGTCGTCCGCCGCCTGTCTTTTATCTTTCCGACGAGACTGTGACATTGCCTAGCCCGTCTTCTCATTTTCGTTGTCTGCAGCCTGCTGACGTCGGGCCAGAATACACGTACACGGCCACACGCTCCTCGTCTTAGTCGTGTCGGAAGAGTGTACTTGATCCAGCTGCTGTGACACACAGACGACGCCTGTACAACTGCCCCCTAGACCTTAGCAATGAATTGTCTGTATTCGGGCGTCTTTGTGATGGATTCGCCCGGCCCCCCGGCCCAGTGCTCCCAAAGACGGCACGGTTTCCCCTTCTTGTCCCTCCATGTCACTCACCCAGCACGCACCTTCTCTGCCCGGTGCCCACGCCTCCCATGCAGTACAAAGTACATCTGGGTCATAGCCTGTTCTCCTCCTACTTCTTCCTCGAGTCTCTTCCTTCCCCCCCTGAGCTGGCTTGGGCAGTATCTGGTTAACCCTTCTGATACGGACTGATCACGCCGTGATGTGCCTGGAGGCAAGGTACCCATAAGTACCACACTCTCTCTCCACCGTGAAGGGAACCCCGGTCGTTTCTTGGTTCCAGCAGGAAAGTCTCCAGCGGGTTGGCTTCTCTCGCTTCTGAATACGGCCCCTGGGTATCCTGCCTCCGCAGCCGGTAGAGAAGGGAAAAAAGAGGAACCCCCTGCTTCCCACCAATCAAAGTCCTGGACGCTTCGTGTCGGACCCCAAACCCAAACTGTTCCTGAATCGTCCAACCTTGTCTGGTATTACCCTCCCGCACCCGCACTCTCCTTCTCACTCCCTCTTTCGCCCTGTTCTACGCCAATTCCTCTCCTTCTCCTCCACGACCCAACTACCCACGCCCTGCCTCTCTTTCTCGCACACTACTGATTCCACACCTGTCCACCACTCAACACCAAAATCCCGACAACCTCGTAATCACAATTCTGTCGACTCACTCGATCGATTCTCATTTCGACTACCTTGGGCGACGACTGGTTCGGAGCGCGGCACAATCGGCAGAGGGTTAACGACGCAGGCAACCGCGGGTTGAGGCCGGGACTGGATCTGGATTTGGGCCTACGGGGTCAGCGGCGGACGCCCATGTTGTGAACTTGGTGCCACCACACTCTCAACAGGCCGCAGCTCGTCGTCGACATCGAAACCCGACCATCGAATCAACATCACCATGGATCCATTTCACGACAAGGCAGGCAACGAGCGGAGGGCTTCCCTCAGGATGTCAGCGAGGGCCTCTTTGACGGCCGACGATGATGACTACGACCTAGCAGCAATGGGCATCTCGGACGGCTTTCGCCCAGCCAACGTCTCCGCTTCCCATCAACCCATCAACTCGATCACCAACCCTTCGACTGGCTCGGCGGTTGTGTCACGAGAATCTCCCGTGCCTCAGCGCGTCACACCTCCTCGGCCTTCCAGCATTTCAAAGCCTCCTCGTTCCCACGATCCGCTAGCCCTCCGTCACGATGGTTCAACGTCCCAATCTCAATCCAACGGCGCCCCAGTGTCCCGTGTCTCCAGCGCCTCGAGCGATTCACCAATAATCAGATCCGAGAGCCCCTACGAGGGACCATCTGGTCCGTCCTTCCCGTACCAAATGTACCCGCAACGGACCAACAGTGTCGCGACATCAAACACCGCTCGCCTGTCTGAAAGATCATACGCCGGGCCCCGCGGACCAACACACCCATACACACTCTACACACAAAACACTGTGACCCCCGACACCAACGATGGTGACAACATCCCCGTGGGATTTGCTGGCCGCTCCGACGGATATCACCGTCGCATTGGGCCTGATGGAGAGGAAGCTGCTGACCTGATCGGACCGTTGGGCCATACCGAAGAGCTTCCACCCTACACTCGATATCCCGAGCAGGCCTATACGAGGAAACAACCTGGTGAACAACTACAAGCATCGACGTCGCCAGTGCAATCTCAACAAGAGCAGCAACGGCAGCCAGAACAGCAACAGCCGTCGGCACAACAACCTGCCGTTACGGTCATGACTGCTACGGTTCCCGCCATTCCTTCTGGCGCTGGCGGCATCGGACTTGCGACACGCAACCCCGAGTTCGAGTCACGAGAGGATTTGCGTCTTTCATCACCATCCCGAACGTCTTCTCGGACCTTGAATGACGAAACTGCTAGCCAACACGAGATCAACACTGCTGCCGAGTCCTACGCTGAGAAGGGCGAGAACGCGTCCGACCGCAAATGGCAAAAGAGGGCAAAGAAGAGGCTGTTTGGTGTCGTTCCTTACTGGGCTATCTGCCTGTTGGCTGTTGGACTGGTGATGATGTGAGTTGGTACCAAATCCGTTCTACGTTTGACATAACTAACCATATCCAGGGGCATCATTCTCGGTGCTGTCATTGGAACCTTTTTCGCCAAGCACAAAAAGCCACCTGGCAAGCATCAGGACGATGAACCTATACCAGTGGTTATCCCAACGGCCACGGTCGATGTGAAGCCCCTCGCTACTCTCCCACCGGATCTTCCACCAATGGAAATTGGTACCTTCGGTCTGCCGCCTCTCATTGCAAGCCAGGCACCAAGTACTTGTTTCAACGACACAACGCAAGCCCAAGCCTGGACCTGCAACATTCCCTTTACCAGCTACGTCATGGGCGTTTCCAGAATCGCCAATGAACTACCTATATCTGATTACACCTTAAAACTTACTACTTTCAATGACAGCGATCACGACGACAACTCTAGGATCAACATGTTCTCGTGGGGTACTCAACCACCACTGATTATGGATCCTCTGAAGATGCGGCTTGTAAATGATACTTCTGAACAAGGACGCGGCGCCGCATGGTTCGCCCAGATGACCTACAACAAGACTGTGGTCGTACCCGAGGATAGGTTCCCTGGCGTCGTCACAACCCCCAAGAAGCAGCAGCCACAATCTAAAAGGGGCGGATCGTGGGATGGACCACCGCCCGGTATGTCGGAGTTCAGTAGGAAAGGGGTCAAAGGAGCGCAGGCCGGCGATCGGCCTTGGATCTGTACCTGGCCCGGAACCCTCCTCGAAGTCTTCGTCTACCCCGCCCAGAACAACAGCTACCAAAGAAAGCCATCTACCACGACTTCCAGGCCTCCGGCGGCAGCAACATTCCCTCCTTCAACATCGACGCAGTTCTTGGTCCGTGGACTGCAAACCCAGTCTCCTCAATCGAGTCCGATCCCGACCGATAGGCCACGCCGTGCACCACCACCACCGTACCCTCAGGTCATCAAATTTGAAGAGCGACGTGTCTCGCTTGACCAAACGAAGAATGCCTACTGCCGACAAGTTGAAGTCTGCGATGATGGCCAGAACACCGTGCCCGTACTAGACGATCAGGGCCAGCCAATTGAGGTCATGATAATGGAAAACCGACAAACGGTAGCAATCGCAGATTCGAGCAAACGCTGGATACACGAAGACAGCCTCTTGGTATCTCCTCGAGACCGACCGTCCAGGACAAGTCAACTTAGCGACTGTGGATGTATATGGTGGTTCACGTAACACCCATTTTCATTACGGCAGGCAAAGTCCTCACTACAACCATGATTTACTGTACGGATTAATGTACCACACACTATCTTTGCGTCAACAGGCTGTATTCCTTAATGCGGCCTATAGGTTTTTTTGTTTGGGGGCGTCAATTGAGATATGGATGAGCATCTATGGGCGTCATTCACTAGGCGCAATTAGGCAGGCGATTGTATATATATTTGGCAAATACCTATGGATGGGCAAAGATGCCCTCAAAAGGCCACTTGTAGGACGGCGGAAAGGTTTACCTGTATAGCCTGCCGATTCCTCCCAGGGTAGGCTACACACTTATTTAAAGAGATTTATTCATGTTGCAAGTCTTCTATCTTATTCGTAGTGTTATGTGTAGAGTGGTAGGTATAGAAGAATTCAAGGTTACATGTGAACAAAAAACCATAATGTATGGCCACATGGCCTTGCTCTCATAATGCATGCTTGCTGCCTACTGGGTATCATTTTCCAAACATTGCCCTCGTCATCGGTTACTCTTCTCTCTTCATGTCGGCCGCCAACCCTTCCAAAAAGTTCTCCGCCATCTTCTTGGCCCTCCTAGCCTCGACCTCTTTCCGCCGCTGCTCAATCTCCTTGCGCCTGGCCTCCTTCTTCTCCTCCCTCTCCTTCCTCGCCGCCTCCGTCCGCACTCTTTCTTCTTCGAGCCCCTGAAACTCCTTTTGCCTTGTCTCCTCGTCTTTGCTAAACTTGTAAAAGCCCGTGCCCTTTGTGCGGATCTCGCTGTCGGCGTCGTAGTGCCTGGCCTCGGGCGGCGTGGCGCTGCGGTCCCGCTTCTTGGCCAGCTCCGCCATCTTGTCCGGGTCCTCCGGGTTGAAGGCCATGGTCTGGATGGCGTCGCCGTACAGCAGCTTGGCGGGGGCCGCGGGGCGGGCTGACATGCGTTCGAGCTCTTCGGCGCCGAGGAGGCCGCGCCGGCGCTGGCGCTCGAGGCGTTCCTTGTCTGCTTTTGTGCCGCGGCGGAGGCGGCCGAATTCGTCTTCGTATTCTATGATTGTGTTGTCCTCGTCGTTTCCGTCGCCGCCGTCGGACTCGTTATCGTCAGAGCCGCTTGAACTTGCTTCCCGGCGACCGTTCTTCTTCTTCTTGTCATCGGATTCGGCCCATTTTCGGTCAAAGTCGATGAGAGGTGCCGCCTCGTTCTCCTTGGGGACGTAGTCGCCCCGCTTCATGGCCGCGTAGAGACGTGCCTTTTCTTCCATCTTGCGTCGTGCGCTGGCGAGGTTTGATGTTTCTTCTTCCGTGCCGAGGGGGTCTTTTAGGTTCAACTTGTTGCTGCTGGCTGCTGCTGTGCCTGCGGATTTCTTGTTATGCCTGTCGCCATCTTTTCCTTTCCCGCCAAAGAGGCTTGATCGTGCCTTGGAGGGTCGAGGCCGGGCTGGTGCTGAGGATGTCGAGGAGGGCGCCGACATGAGTGAGGTGAGTTGGGCTGTGAAGTCGAGCGAGCTGCCGAGAGCCGTGTCGTTTTTGCGCTTCTTGGGCGGCGGTTGGCCGTAGAGGTTTGGATCTTGCGGGGTCTTGGTGTGCTGCATCTTGGTGTGCTCCGAAGATATCACTCGGGTTCAATTAGAAATCCAGAAGAAGGTTTTGCTGTGTTTGAAGTCGCTGTGTACAATGGTGGTGTTCGTCGTGGAGGTGTAGGTGAGAAACCTTGCCTGGATGCATGCGCGCGCTGTCAGTGAGCGCGGTGGACATTACACCCCGATGTCCCTTATCGTTATCGGAATGGCAGGGATTTCGGGCAGGCGACACCAATGTGCTACCTGAAAGCACGGCACAGAATTTGGACAGCCCCAGGTACCCTAGAAATGATACCGTCAAGTAAAGTGAGTACGTCCCCGATTCATATTGACTTAAGCCCCATGCGAAGAAGCCCGTCAGAAAGTTGTTGGCTTCCTTGGAAGCATTGCTATTTCCCGTAAGTTCTGTTTACGACTAGGGCTCTCAGAAGGTTCAATGATGAACTTATGACACCTCGAACTGTAGTCAATAGTAGCTTTCCTTACTTGTGTCTGCTGTCCCTGTTGCATTTTTGTAAACATTTATAGCATCCCATTAATGAAGGAATCCCAACAAACAAAGAGGAAAGCGAGCCTCCCTTCCAGTCAGCAGAACCGCCCAAATAAAGCACAATTAGCAGCCAGGCAAAGTAAACACATGGAAAAAAAGCGCTGCATTATGTGAGAAACGCTTTTCGCAGCTCATTACGCAACCATGACCTATCCGCCCATCGAGCTACTACTCTAGACTCTCGCAAAAACCTTGCCCTCAAAGCACAGCCCCTTCATCACAACCTCGCATTCGCTCTACCCAGAAAATGAGCTGTGCCCGGTCCCGGACTCGCTCGGATGCTGTATGCGTTTCCGCGCTGAATCTGTCACTGTTGAAGGGATGGCCGTCGTCCCACCCGAGGCTTCCAGTGGTGGTGGTGCCTTTTGCTGTTGCGACAGATGCCTCGGCTCACGCGAAGACGTCTGGTTTTGGGTTTGATTCCACGGACGGCTCCAACATATTCTATAGATGTAGATAGCGATGTCTACACCGATCAAGAGGAGGATGGGGCCAAAGAAGCAGAATCCCAGTGCGATCTAGTGAAAGGGTGTTAGCGAAGCGGCAGCTGGGAGAGTATTGAACAGTCCTTGTTAAGGAGACTTACAAAGGCGCCTGAGATATATCTGACAATGGTAGGGTAGTCGGAGTGCAGTAATGAGTAGGTCATCATGGTGTCGTACCACGAGACGGTTTGCGCGTGAGTATCCATCAGGGGATTGTAGGAGCAATGGCGAGGGCCATTGGCTATTGAGATTGGAATTAATTGAAGAAAGATGACGATGATGGGAGAATGTCGGGAGCAGCAGAATTCGGCGGGGTGGTCTTGGATCGCAATGGCTGGCTGCTGCAGTCGCGTGTGTGACGGCAGAAATGTAAGGCAGTCTGACGGCAAGTAGTAAAAGGGATGTTGAGAGTGGTATGACGAGACGTGATTGAGCAATCAGGTAGAGGGTCGTTGCTGGGTATCTTGGACGCTTTGCACCGAGGTATGCAATTTGGGTGGTCTCTTATGTTAATAAATATTCCCCTCGGTCATGGTCTTGGGCGGGCCAGTCGTGAGACAGTCAGGTGTTGGGTGCCGAGGTGGATAATCAGGCAAAGGGAGGCATTGATGTAGATGCTTATGAGGATGCGCGAAGAGCATGGGATGGCCGACCGACGCCTCCGTCACGTTTTAGTGTTTAGTCCAGATCGAGCGGCCACGGTGCAACGACTTCTGACTCTATAAGTGACAAGGCATTTTGGTAATCTTCCGAGAGCCCCCATTCGATGGAATTCACAGCAGCTGGGGCCCTACTTGTTCCCATGTCTTAAGGCCAAGGTGGTATAGTCACCTCGCTCCCCTCTTACCTTACCCTTTTTCTGTTCTCTCACCATGAAAACGACCTACACCTGTATCTGAAAAGCCTTCCCGTCGTGTTCTGGATGGTAAAAGGGGCGTCCTCGGCCCCTCTTCAGCGTTGGAAAACATACCTTAAGTTCTTAGGTACACCGGCGGGTGGCAGATCACCCGGAACGAGTGACGCAGCCAGGAACCCGCAGTGGGCACGGGTGTGCCGGGCGGGCCTTCAGCTGTTATCGCTTATCACTCAGATACCAAAACACCTGTGGTTCACCGGGAGGTCAAGCGTCAGGACTCACCGCCTACCCAATCGGTAGCTTTCATCGTCCCCCGCCATGCATCACCGCCCGCTCCCATGGCAACTTTTTGATTTTCAGGCGGCCAATTGTTCACCTTGAGCGCATATCAGACGACTCCCCATCCCAGCCGTCTCTCTAGCCGAAGACAGCTCGAACGCGTCTATTCATTCTCTTCGGCTCTATTCACAGAAAATTGATCGGATTCAATCAGCGACCGGCCATGAGTAGACCGGAAAAGAAAAACAAAACCACAAAGCGGGAGGAGTACCGCAATGCGCGCAACCAAGATGGCGTGGCCGAACTGCCCAAAAAGAAGTTCTACCGCCAACGCGCTCATGCAAACCCTTTCTCAGACCATCAATTAGTCTAGTTGAGTCTCAATGGTTATACTGCCCTCTGGTATCTACTCGCTTGCTAACTGTCACCATCCCAAATAAAGCCCGGCCAGTCCAGACTCCATGAACTGGACGCAGTACTATCCCGCCTTTGCAGCCAATGACGAGACCCCCTCTACCGATCCCACAGTTACGGGTTCCATGACTCTGGATGCCTCGAAGCCGAAAACGCGCAGTCTTACGAAGGATGTGGAGGTTGTTGACATTGGCTGCGGCTTCGGAGGCTTGACCGTAGCTCTGTCACCCATCCTCCCAGAGACCCTCATTCTCGGTAGGTGGATTGTCTAAGCTTGTATTCGGTGAGTGTGCTGACCTTTCTGCTCTTCTCAGGCCTCGAGATCCGCACTTCGGTCACGGAATACGTTCAGGAGCGCATCAAGGCCCTCCGAGTTCAGAACCAGGAGACTGGCCGGTACCAGAACATCAGCTGCCTCCGCGCCAACAGCATGAAGTTTCTCCCCAACTTCTTCAAAAAGGCACAGCTCTCCAAGATCTTCATCTGCTTCCCCGACCCGCATTTCAAGGCACGGAAACACAAGGCCAGAATCGTATCAACGACACTCAACTCCGAATACGCCTTTGCGCTGCGCCCGGGAGGCATCGTGTACACCATTACAGACGTCGAGCCCCTGCATCAGTGGATGGTGGGCCACTTCAATGCCCATCCCGCATTCGAGCGTGTGCCTGAGGAAGAGCAGGAGGCCGACGAGTGTGTCAAGGTGATGGCGTCCGAGACGGAAGAGAGCAAGAAAGTGACGCGGAATCAGGGCCAGAAGCACATTGCGCTTTTCCGCAGACTGGAAGATCCTCCATGGTAAATGGCAAGGACTTGCTTGACCAGAGTGATGGTGGCATGACTCTTTGGTAAAAGAGACCTCGGTGCTTAGTCTCGAAAAAGTTCAAATAATACCCCTTTCTTCTTGTCGTAGATTCTCAGAAATGACTAAATTGTGCCCTGCTCTCATTTGAGCCACGAAATTGAGGATAGAGTCCTTAGACAGGCCGCTTCTCGTTGAGTCCTTACAGGCAGGTATTGTACATGCAAGCTCGACGGTGTAGGATGTTTCCAATATTTTCAGCCCCAAGAGCTTTTCAGCGCCATACTTTCATGCAGCAGCAAAACAAGTCCGCAAAATTGCGTGTATCCATCTCTGTTCACGACGTAACTCATGCATTCATGGTAGCTTTTCTGAGAAGGCAAGCGCATTTCAAGCATTGGATACCTTAAGAGGCAGGGCTCCACCGAGACTCCCCTCATGCACCCGACCCTGCAGCGCGTCTGCAGCAACGGTAAGTGGCACGACTATGTAGTCTCAAATATGTGATATAATCTGCTTGATTGATTCTAAGCTTGTTATGGCTTGAGCTACCCTATCTAGGTTAGTAGTAGTTCGGTACGTACCTTATGGAGGTACGTACCCAGGAGGTCGTGGCAACCTCCCCCTAATAGGGAAAAAATACGAACGTCCGCGTTCGTCTTTAAATTATGTCCTCGCCCTTAGTAACGCCTATCTATCCTCCGTATCCTATGTCCTCGTCCTTTTTCGACTCCTCTCCGTCTCTAATAGTCTATTCGGGAATTTTTAGGTCGGGGTTATCGATTAGCTCGGGCTTGTCGTTAATCTCGAACTTGGGGTTATTGATTAATTTAGGTTTATCAGAGTCTACGTCTTCTTTAACAGGTTTGAACTTATCGATTTCGGAGTCGGAATCTTTAGTAATTAAGTCTTGTTCTATCTCTCGCTCTAGGGTAAGCGTAGGCTCGTCGTTAAAGAATTGTCTAACGATGTGTATAGGGTTATTTCCCGTAGCGGCGATTACTATTAGGGATAGTTTAACTATATCCTCTTGAGTAACGGGACCACTTAAGAAGTACTCCGTCTCCTCTCCCGCGTTAACTTCGTTGTCCTATATAAGGGTCCCGTTATTCCTTCTAGTTATGTTAGTCTACGTCTACGCGTTAGCAGTTTAAGGCAGCTAAGTATCCTTAATATTAATAGTAACGTTCTTAGGGCGCTCGCTTAGAGCTAGGGCCTTATCGTTATCGCGGAGTTTATTAAAGTCGTAAATAATATTATCTAGCTTTGCTATACGGGCGTCAATATTAGCCTCGTTATATAATTCCGCTATGTCGGATTTAAAGCTTTTCTAAACTTTAATAGTATTAAGTAGCTTTTTAAATTCTTTAGTTACTCTTCGGCGCTCGGCAGTTTTATTAATCTATAGGTCTTTATAAAGTTTTATATAAATATCGCCAATAGCCTCGTAAATCTTAATACGCTCCGCTTTAATAAAGTTATCGGATTTTACCTCGTCGTTATTATTAAACTTCGTATTAATAGTCTCGGTTTCGTAATAAATCTTTTTAATAAGTCTCTCGTCCTTTATAGTAATCTTACGCTTAGTTAGCTTAGCTACCTTTTTAATACGAGGCTCGAGGTTAATAATAGCTAAACGCTTTTAAAGGCCGTTATAAGTTACGTCGCGGCTTTAAAAGTAATTAAATATATTAATCTATTTAATAAATCTACTATTTAAATTCTCTACCTAGCTAGGGGGTAAGTTAAGGTAGTAAAAAAAGAGTACTATAATAGCGTTGTTAAAATCCGGGCTCTTATTTAAATTTATTACGTTATAAAAGCGCTTTACGATTTTATTTATTACGACTTTACCCTTCGTTATAATAGACTTAGGGAGTTAATTTATAATACTCTTTAGAATAGCGTACTTAGACTCGATATAGTTAACTATATACTTTTTATTATTATTTTAATATATAATAGCGATCTATATAGTGGTTTTTTTCCGGCTTTATAAGCATAAAAAATCGACCTTAACGGGATTAGGCTTTTAAAGGAAATTATATAATATAATATACTTTTTAACTATATAATACGCACAATATGCCCTAAGTACGCACTTAATTTAATATAGTAATTTTAATATAAAAACCGCTATATAATTCGGGATAGGTAAGCTGCCCTATTTAGCTATTTATTAACGATAGGCTAAGCGATATACCTACGTAGCGGCGGTAGCTAAAAAGGTCGACTATAAAGGTCGGCCGTAAAGGTCGGCCATAAAGGTCGGAGGCGGCCTTCTTTAATTATAGAGGTTCTAAATTTTAATAATAATATAGAGGTTTTTAAAGAAAGGGCTAAAAGGGCTAATATTTAGCTACTCTTCGTACTAAAGCTCGTAAAGATTCTTTTTATCTTTATTACTTCCTATATTACTTATAAGCTTCTTTATTTAAACTAAATAAACTAATAAATAAACCTATTAAATAAACCTATTAATATATAAACTACTAATCTATATTTAATATATAGTTAGTAATTAGCGGGCTAGGACTTTTTAATAATGCCCCTCGATAAGTCTACCCCCCTCGGACTAGGCCCTTTTTTTAGCCGGCTCGATACTATAATTATCGTAGTTAATATAGGTACGTTTAAAAAGTAGTAAAGTGCTTTTTAGTAATACGGAATTCGGCTAAGCGACGGTATAAACGTTATAAATAACTAGGCCGGTATTAATATTAAAATCCGGTATATTAACGCCGGCCTAGTTATAATAACCGAGATAGGTAGGCTAGAAATATATAGGGTTAAAATAATAAACTAGCGCTTAAAACGGTTTTTACGAGCCCCCCTAGGTAACGATAATACCTATATAAAAAAAGAGATTATACTAGACTTAGCTACTTATACGGGCTAGTATTAAGAGGTTTTATATACGTTAAAATAAATAAAGCTTGCCCTTTAGACGGGTAATAAAAGGTCGGGAGCTATTAATAAAAAAAGAAAATAGTCGAGTCGGTTAACTATTTTAGTTAGTAATTAGGTTTAAAGCGTAATATATTTAGTTTTTTTTAATATATAATATATAGTACGGCCCCGGCGGATTACTCTATTAAGGGGATAATAGCGATCTTTAAAGCTATATACTAAATAGGGGTTAGGGTTTTATTTCTAAATAGAGAGATAATATAGTTACTTTTTTTATTAATTATCTCGTTACGCTCGGCTTTAATAAACTTAGTATAAAACGACTTTTCAGAAACGCGGTTATAAAAAATAGCTATTTTATTAGTTATTATAATATTTATTATTAATTACTTTATATAAGTATTTATTAGAAGTGTAATTATATAAAAAGAAATAATACTAATACTAGAGCTAGTATATAAAGTAAATATTATTATTATTATTAAAGTATATTATAAAGGAAAAAAGAAAAAAGGATATTACCGGTCGTAATAAGTAATTAAGTATTTAGGTCCTTTTACGTATATAGGAAAGAGCAGTTAGTTAAGTAATACGCTATTATAATTTAGAAAGAAGGAGGTTTAGATTTTTAAAAAAAGTAAAATAAGTCGGGGAAGGCGTATTCTATTTATTTCTCTCTAAGCTACTATTAAAATTTATTTCTAAATCTAATAATTTTAACTAAGTATTATTTAATATTACCTCGTATTATCCGTTATCCGATAATACGTTATAAAGAGTCGCTTAGTATAATAGGTCCTAGATACGGTAAAGAGCGTCCGAAAATATCTATCGGTAGTACTAGTTCTAAGTAGTTAATAGATATTACGTTATATATTTTTATATAGTTTAGTAGCTAAAGTTAATAAACTAGTCTTTTTACTTTTTTAATAATAGTAAATAGTCCTACGAATTATTATCCGAGTTTATATTTAAAGGCCGTAGTTTAAAGCGTCGAGTATCCCCTATATAAATAGAGTATTATACGTTATTTTATTATAAAGAACTTAAATAGTCGTTTCTAATTGTAATATAATTTAGTTTTTATCGCTACGATTATAATAGTATTATAAACTTTAAATCGTATTACTATCCGACTTAGTAATAGCGCTATTACGTTAGCTATAATATTAACTACGTTATTTAATATAAAGCCGAGGGCTATTTTATTAAATAAAGTATTTATTATTAAGGCTTTAAAGTTATTTATTTTAAATTATAGTTAGGGAACGGCTATATCCTATTCGTTTAGCGACTCTATAAATACTATATATATCCGGAGTATAGATTTAATAATAAAGTTTATCCGCTCGCTCTAGCCGTCTATTTATAAATAATAAACTATAGAATATAAAAGCGTAGTTCTTAGTCGCTTTTATATATATATTTATATTTTAAAAAAATTTAGGGTCCTTATTATTAATAATAATTTTAAAGAGCCTTTAGTTAGTATTTTAAAGTTAATCGATAAGCGCGTTTACCTATTATACTATCGTTTACGTAGTTTTATTTATTACTAAGCTAACTTATTTAGAAAACTTATTAATAATTATAAAGAGGTAGTTATATTCCTTAATAGTCTTCGGGAAGCTAAAAATAAAGTCTATTATAATAATATAATAAAAGTACGGTAATAGTATTATTAATTATATATCTCTATATAGTTAGTAAAATTTATTTTTATATATAGCGCACTCTAAATATCTTTAAAAGTACTTTTTTAATAGCTTTATTATATATAGGATATAATACCTAAGGAGTAGGTCTCTAATTTTATTATATTTTAAATAGTTTTTATTATATACCGTAGTAAAGACGTCTTTATAATATATCTATAATATATATAATCTATTTAGGACTCCTTTAATAGTTTTCTATATAAGGCCGTCTCGGAATTTAAAAAGGAGCTTAATATAGTCTTTTTTTATTAATATAAAGTTTTTATATAGAGTTTATAAAATAGGGCCGAATATTAAGTCGTTTATATATCCTTTTTATAGTTTATTTTTAAATTCTAAACTTATTTTAAAAAGTACGGTTTTAATACCGTT